CGGGACACCTCTACTGTAAGATGGTACTATAAGATGGTACAGTAAGATGGTACTGTAAGATGGTACAGTAGGATGGTACTGTAAGATGGTACTGTAAGATGGTACTGTAGGATGGTACTGTAAGATGGTACAGTATGATGGTACAGTAGGATGGTACTGTAAGATGGTACTGTAAGATGGTACTGTAGGATGGTACAGTAAGATGGAACTGTAGGATGGTACAGTAAGATGGTACAGTAAGATGGTACAGTATGATGGTACTGTGGGATGGTACAGTAAGATGGCACTGTAGGATGGTACTGTAGGATGGTACAGTAAGATGGTACTGTAAGATGGTACTATAGGATGGTACAGTATGATGGTACAGTAAGATGGTACTATAGGATGGTACAGTATGATGGTACAGTATGATGGTACAGTAAGATGATACTGTAAGATGGTACAGTAAGATGGTACTGTATGATGGTACAGTATGATGGTACAGTAAGATGGTACTGTAGGATGGTACTGTAGGATGGTACAGTAAGATGGTACTGTAGGATGGTACTGTAGGATGGTACAGTAAGATGGTACTGTAGGATGGTACAGTATGATGGTACAGTATGATGGTACTATAGGATGGTACTGTTAACTGTTCCAAAGAACCTCCTTCAGAAGATCTGAACTATAAATTCAGGTTTTTAATCCTTCATTATAAAACTGTTTCAGATGTGTCCTGAAGATGGACCACCACTGCCGTATCCTTTCAGTTTTAAACAAAAAAAGAAAAAGAACGGTACATAAAAATGTGTTTAGTTTTACTCCAAGTGCTGCTCTGTTTGTGTGTACTTAACTAAAGTTATTTCCAGCCTGGCTGAACAACTGTGTGGGCCACTTCAACCACCGCTACTTCTTCTCTTTTTGCCTCTACATGACATTAGGCTGCATCTACTGCAGCTTCAGCAGCTGGGACATGTTTCTGGATGCTTACAGCGCTGTAGAGGTGAGGCTGGTTCAGGTGGGACGTTACTGCGTGTCTGGTTGTTCTGAGCACCAGGATGTTTTCACCAGCAGCACCTGTCAGGATGTGTCAGATAGTAGATATTTGATCTCAGGTGGTAAACAGAGAGAAACACGAGACCTGAAAATGATCTTCAGTTATATCTACATCTGATTAAGGATCAGATGTAGTTGGTAAGGAAACGACTCCAGACTTTGAGAGACAATTAAAGGTAAAGTTTAGAATTCACGTTTCCACAGAGTTCTGTATTTTAAGTAGAAATATGGTTGCAGAGATGAAAATGGATGTAGTTCACTGATGCAGATTTGGTATCATTTGAAAGTGAAATAACTGCATGATAGACTTTAGCTTTAACACAAAAGATTTTTGTCTGTTTCAGAGTTACAATCAGACCCCTCCTCCAGACCAAAGCTTCAAAGAAAGCACCGCTCACAAGTGTATTATCTTCCTCTGGGTATTGACCAGGTGAGCAGTACTCTCATGAAAACTCATGAAGCTGATTCAGATATTCAGATGTTCTCCTGCCTTACACCTGCAGCACAGTTGCAGTAGCTCTGGGTGGACTCACCTTGTGGCATGCCAGACTCATCAACAGAGGCGAGACCAGCGTGGAGCGCCACATCAACCGCAAAGAGACCAAAAGACTGAGGGAGAGGGGAAAGGTACGTCCTCCATTAGACAATCAGCAGGAGTGCTGCAGAATCCACTGTGAATGGGCCATGAAGGTTTCACCTCACACTACTTTATAAAACTATGTAAATCCATCCATAAATCCATTTACCCACCTGCTTGTTGCAGAGGCAGCTGCTCAAAGACGGAGGCCCAGATATATTTTTCCAGAGTCACTGACCGTGTTTCCATCGAGGCTTTTTGATGTGCATTTAGAAGTGTCATGGAAAAAAAAAAGTCATGGAAACAGCAAAATTAAAAAAACAATCCTCAATTCACTAAAAAGTTTTTACGCTCGCTTGAGGTGGTTTTTGGATGATTCGCAAAGTAGTTAATGTGCAAAACGGGAGATGGAAACATGTTTGCTGAATAAATTCTGACGTAGCGCATATTTACCTCGTGACGTTCAGCTGTTTCCACTTTCCTGCCTCGTCCAGGATGTTATTATAAATGCGTGAAAACATGGCTTTTATTTCCCCACGTCTCCTGGCAGCGTTAAACATAGCCTGTACTAGCTGAATAGATA